TTGGAAGGTTTAAATTTTCGGGACCTGAAATATTTTAATCCAGTTCTTCTAGACAAACACGTTTGGAGACTACTGTACTCTCCACATCTTTTGGTTTACAAGGTGCTTGTATCAATACTTACCTGACAATCATTTGTTAGATGTGGACTTAGATAAGAAGGCTTCTTATTTATGGACGAGTTTTTGGGGTCAGAATTTGTTAGCGAAGGAGCAGGGGAAAAGAGTCGGAGATGGTAGTACTATCAGAATTTTTAAGGAGATTGGATCCTAAGAATATCTACTTTTAAACCAATCTCTCCGCCTGGGCAACATTAGAATTTGCTAGTGGCAGACTTTATAAATTCAATCTGGGAGTGAGATGTGGGGAAGCTACATGTTGTATTATATTTGGAGTGTTGGAGATGCACCAAATCAATTTCCCCTTCCATAATTATATTCAGTAAATCACAATCACACGATATAAATAAGAGATCAAAGGGAAAGTAATAAACGACATTAGAATTTATTCTGGTCCACCCCAACAGTTTATGGGCTACATCTAGTCTTCCACTCATATGCGAGTTCCACTGTAATAAGAGATTGCATACAAAACACTCAATTATCTCCCATAAATATTCACCCTCTAGAGGTCTCAACAAAAGTCCTCAAACTTCTAAGTATTATAACACACTATAACATGAATGAAAAACACTCATTAAATACCCACGGGATACAAACTTCTTTTCACACATTGCCCACAACCACTCAACTCTGCCCATAACCACTCAACTCTCTTTTATTTAGATTCTATATAGATAAAACCTTAACAAAATGACTCTATTTATAAGAAGCTAAATATCCTAATTCTTATAGGAAAAAACGATATTTTAATTCTCATAACAAAACAATATCCTAATCCTTGTAGGAATCTATAGTAGCATTGAAAATTATTTTCTTCATAGGACATGCGTTTCTTGTTTTGGCTTCATTATCCCAACATGGAGGTTGTTAATAAGATAAAAAAATTCCTATTAATCCCTTGTAATAGATCAGATTCGTGGCTATAGCCTACGATAGAAAGAGCTGTTATAGTGTGAAAAGTTGTTACAAGGTGTTTATGAATGATAATAAGGAACACTTGTGATCCTTAAGGTTTGAATTATGTGTCTATTTGATCCTTAAAATTTTAAAATAGACATTTTTGATCCCTAAACTTTAGAAAAGTGTTATAAATGGTCATTGAACATCATTTGACCTTTATTGACTTAATGAAAAAATGATGGGAAAAATTAACAGGTGACTCTATTATTCTAAATTATATCTTTAGATGAGATGTAAATAAAATAGATTTTATATAATATATTATCCTAGGTGTCATTTTCTTTCTTCTTCCTTTCTCCTTCTTTCTCCCCCTAATCTTCCTCCTTTACCTTCTTCCCACTGGCCACCAACCACCGTCATCTTCATTGCCGCACTTCGCCGTTGCTCGTCGGAGAGCACCTCTCTCTTCGTCGAATCTAGAACGGGGAGAGAGCTTCCTCTCTCCGGCGACGGCTGGCGGTCTCCCTCTCTCTTTATTCTAGATATGAGATCCAATTGTAAGGGATTGAGGGAGTGAGAGAGTTGAGAGCCTTTTTTTAGCATCCCTTCATGGTTCAACTTATTGTAATATTTATAGAGGGAAAATCTCAAGACCATCAAGATATCTTATCCGTTTGCATATATGATATCTTCTCCTGAATCTAGAAGTAATCACAAGACCATTCAGGATATCTTATCCTTTTTGCATATAAGATATCTTATCCTGAATCTAGGAAAAATTCTAAGACCATCTGGATATCTTCTTATTTTGAATTCCTATTGTAGAAAAATAGGGATGTTTCTCATCCATAACATTAGCCTCTACTCTCAAAATACATAGTATTAATTTTGAATCTTTATCCAAAATTAACATATATTTATATAATGTATCAATATACATTATTATATACATTCTCTTATATAATTTGAACATTTCAAATTATTTCATAATTATTGATCCTCGTCTTACCCATTGTGAGCTAGCAAGGGGACCTAATTGACCTACAGATCAAAATCTCCAACGATGTAAGATTAATCAGTCAAACTCAAATTACCGTTTTACTCCTGAGTTACATCTTGCTCCTTAAATACTACTGCTCCTCTAATGAACAAACCGGTTATGGTCCAATTAATAATCGGAAGTCCATCTTGTCCTAGTGAGAAGGTGGAACCCATTGTTCAAGTCTTGGAGTCAATATGTAAGGGAACACTCGTCTACTTCCCTAAAGTCGAGAAGAAGTGAATTTCATCTTGCATAGTTATGGCCCACTTGGTTCTTTCGCTCCTTTCTCRCGGAGCGGCATACCGAAAAAGAAAAGAAGAAAAAGGTTTCAGTCAACTCCCCACTTGGTCTCATCCCCAAAATGGTAGGATTATTAAGCCGGCAATTTGGGCCACTCTCACCCATACAAATCAAAGGACGATCATTTATAGGTAGGAGTCCATAACTTGCTCAGGATTAAGATCGAGTTACCTAGTCATCCTATGAGATAACAATCTATTGACTAACGGTGTTAGAGCCAATAATTAATTATTTCGCGGTTCGGTCTTATACAAACTTATTGTATTGGATACCCCCACTCGCATGTCTCTAATGAGCGATCTGGATAAAGTCGTTTGTAACTATTACTATTACAAAGTGAGTCGTATCCATAGACCATTTAGATTATTACTGGAACATTATCCACTTATATATCGAATACATATTGTATATATATTGTATATCAAATATATACATTGTATATTAAATATATACATTATTGTATATCAAATATATACTGTATATCGAATATATATTGTGCCAGTTACATTAAATAACTTTGGATCTTAGTTTATCCACAATAACTTTGGATCTTAGTTTATTGGAATACGAGTAATGCAAAGAAATAATAAAATAAATAAAAATGTTTACAAATTACAAATTCACGAGCTCAAGGCACTAAACCCAATACGATGGTCGGTGGCTAGAAAGAACAAGGAAGAAGAGGGGGAGACAGAAAGAAAATGCCACCTGGATAATAAAATTAGATAAAAATTATTTTTTTTACATCTCACGTAAAATAACACGTTACAAAAATCCAATCATATATTAATTTGCCACATCATTTTTTTGTTAAGTCAACTAACGGTTAAAAGTTATAAAAGGACCAAAATATTTTTTTCAAATTTTAGAGGCCAAAAATGTCTTTTTAAACCGTAAGGGATCACATAGACACCTATTTCAAACCTCAAGAACCAAGAGTAAAAAAAAAAACTATTTTATTAGTATTTTTCAACTTTTTAACTTTATTTGTTAATAATTTCATGTTCAGTATTTTATTACTGTTTGAAAACTACTTTTGAAATCTTGGGTCAAAGAAAAAATAAAGATTTTTAACACCACGGTTTTATTTGATTTTTATTTTCGTAATTTTTTAAAATTCTTTTGCAAACTGATTTTTTAAAAGTATTTTTCTACTGTTTTCAAAGTTCAAAATACTTAAAAAAGTCCTTATATTCTCGTGTTTTCATTATTTTTTTAACATATTATTTATAAAATAGGTTAAATATATAATTTAGTACCCAAATTCATATCGTTTTTTTAACTTTTGTCTCTAATTTAATAAAAAGTTCAATTTTAATCAGGTCCCTACTGCTATAACATCATTAAAATTGAAAAATGAAATGGTGTTATGGTAAAATAATGATCTTCTATCAGATTTCATGATTAACTATCCATCTTGTCATATTTATGATGTAATTTAAAAAATGTAACGATTTTTCATTCTTTTTCAAATATAGGAAAAGTGTGACTTTTCTTGATATATTTTCATATTACATTTTGAGTTTGAGTATGATTTGGATTATAATATTTTTATAAACTTATTCAAACTCTCTGCTATATATAAAAATATATATATATTTATTTTCAGCTATTTATGTAAATGCCTTTTAAAAAGCTAGTTGATCTTACCCATGATTCTAAATATCCGTTGATACTGCACATCGACATTTTCATCGACATATTTATGTTTTCATAGATTCGACATCGACATAAGAGGTGAATCGACATTTCTATCATAGTACAAGAAAATCGATAAAATATGAAAAATATCAACAAAATGTTACTAATAAATACATATATATATATAATAGGAAAAATATCAACAAAATGTCACTAATAAATATATATATAATATTAATATTAATTATTTTTAACTAATTTAGAAATGGAAAAATGTTTATTTGGTAATTTAAATATTTTTTTTATGTTTTTTAATTTTTCTAACTTTTACATAAATATCCATCGGCATCCACATTTATCGATATTTCTATGAAATTGAGACCTCGACATTTTCATCGACATCCACATTTAAAACCTTGGTCTTACTTGATGAACTCTATTCTTTTCTTTTTTAGTTTAAAGAGGAGCGAGGAGATTTGAACTTCATTGGAACCATTAGAAAAGTAAATAACATTTTGACCAATTGAATTGTACTCATGTCAACCCATCCAATTTTCTTAATCACATAGAGTTAAGTCTATAGTTAACATAATTTTAAATGACCGCCACCATTTTCTTTGTTTAATGTTTTTTTAGTACAACATGTGGGGATGGAAGATCGAACTTACAACTTCTTGATTGAAGATATATGTCAATTACCGGCGAGCTATATGCTCGCTTTGATATTTTCTTTGTTCAATTTTAACATTATTGTTATTTAGAAGTTTTGATATCTAAAAGCATACCATCAAACCTTTTCGAACACCACCAAAAACATTGAAAAATAATGTAAAAACTTAAAAGTACGTACTTAAATTATAAACTTAACCCCTTACAAGTATTACATGTATTTTAAACAAGTTACAATTAAAAGGACAACCGACCATTATTGATAATAACGTAGATGACACACAGACAAGACACTTTTAGAGACGCCAAACATGCAAATCAAAGACACATGCATAACATAAACAGAAAAGTAAAAATACAACTTCTTATTTTGTTTCCATCTTGAAGTTGTGTAGAGTAAATTAGGCGCACACAAACGACGCAGGAACATCTCTGTTGCAACTGTTCAGCAGCAGGCTGAGATTAAGATTCAAGTTTATATCGATGATACCCAAGGCACGTGCTCGTATCGCAGTGCAAAGGCAGACAGCAGCTTCAAGGTCGACGAGGCCTGCAATCAGATTGCAACATGCAGTGGGTGGGTCACCAAGGGTTATATCAATTAGGTCAAGTAAGCCAACACATAAATTTAATTGGACGGAGTCCCTAGGGCAAGTGGGTTCGCCACTGGATGGACTGCCACCGGAGTTTGGATTTGGGAAGCTTATGATATCGTTACCATCGACGATTGCAGTTGGTTCGGGTACTGGCTGAAGAACGGAGCCACGAGCGGTGACGAGGGAAAAGAAGAGAAGGTTGAGGGAAAGGAAGAGAGCGAGTGAGGAGATGGTTTTGTGAGAACAAGCCATTTTTGAGCAAGCCTTGGAGATTTTAATGTTGTATCCCTTTTGTCAACTAGAAGGCTTTGGATGAAGAGATGAGGTGATGGGAGGGCTTTTTATAGGGGTTTATTAATAGGTAAGTTTTTTGCATTAAAATGTCACTTATTAGTTCATTTAGAATATCACACATCAATATTTAAGTAACAAGGTTAACGATGTAAAGTATATTAGAATTAAAATCGAGAGTTAATTAAGAATGTAATTGAATTTTTTATTTTAAAAATAAAAACTATATATACACACACACACTGAATCATCATAATTGTTTTGACTAAATTTGTAATTTAATTTAATTTCCATTCATGCACCAATATGTTTGTCAGCTAAAAAGGTCAAATATTTGCTCCTTATATAAAATTGAAATAACCTAAGAGTGAAAAGAAAAAGGTGTTTTTGAGGCTCGTTTGATAATTAAAAAAAATGGTATTTTTGAGGCTCGTTTGATAATATCTCTGTTTTCATTTCTTGTTTCTCGTTTTCAGTTTATGAGAAATATAAGCATTTGGTAACGTTATTTTAAGAAACGTTATTTCCTATTTTTCATTTCTTATTTTATGAAACGCCTTCAAAATTGTATAGAAATTTTGAATATAATAAAATTAAGAAGTATTTAATAACCATTTCGTTTTCTATTTTTGGTTTTGGTTTTTAGTTTTTGGTTTTTAGTTTTTGAAAAACAGATGGATAACCCATTTTTTCTATTTTTTAAATATGTTTTCGAAATTATGAGTCAATTTAAAAAAAATAGTAAATTTAAAAAAAAAATTAGTTTTTAAAATGAGATTTCTATTTTTTAAAATCTTATTTTTTTTCTAATTCTCAATTTTTTTATTTCACATGTTAATCTCTAATATATTTCTTTCTTATTCAAAAAGAAATTTTCTGCCTAATTTTCTTTCCCTATAAATTTTTTTTTGTTTCCTCTATAAAATTTTCATATCTAAAATATTTATTATTATTTCTCTGTCTTCTTTCCCTATAAATTTTTTTTGTTCCCTCTATAAAATTTTCGTATCTAAAATATTTATTATTATTTCTCTGTCTTGAAAATTTTCATCCCTATATATTTTCCTCTTTTCCTTTTTCTTTTTAACACATAACTCGCATTCTTCTCTTTCTAAAATTTCTCATTTTATATATTTTTTTTCATTTCTAATCTATTTTTACGTAGCAAATATATATTTCTAATTTTTCTTTATCTAATATCTTTATCTCTCAACTTTCTTTCAGTGGTAGAACTTCTCTCTTTTTATTTATTTATCTCTCTAACAAATATATCTTGATTTTTTTGGTATAAACTTTTGTCTCGTTTCTTTTTCTAATTTTCTTTCTTTCTCTGACATGCTCTCAACCTTACTCTATAACTCTAATTTTTTTTTAAAACTTTTTCTTTTCCTAATTATTTTTTTAATTTATCTTATTCTAAATTTACTCTTTTTAAATTTATCAATAAAAAAATTATTTATATCTCTCTAAATTTTTATTTTTCATGTCTATATATTAGGCATGACAAAAAATCCTCTAGGGTTGGGATAAGCTCTAAGAACACGAAATGTATTTCCCACCATGTCCCCACCCCTTCCTCGATTCTATTTTTTAAATAATAAATATATATTTATTAATTGTTTTATTAAATTATGAATAAAATATTAAATATTTATCTAAACTAATTATTTATACCAGTAAATAATAACTTTTCAGTAAATAAATATAATATATATATTTTTTATTTTTTAAATTATAAAATATTTAAAATTAATTACGAAATCGATAAGTTTCCCCACTGAGATCTTCATCCCGAGACGAGTATTCCTTGACTTGGATCTCCATTCCAGAAATCGAAGAATAAGATAGATATGAGAACTAAAAATTTTCACGAACACGAGGTGGGGATGTTATCTGGACGACACGCTCCATCCCATTTTCATCTCTACCTCACATAGATTTTTCTCTCTCTAGCAGATCTCTCAAACTCTATAACCTTAAAAATAGAAAATAAAAATGGTTACAAAACATGTTTGATTTTTTATCTTTTAAAAACAAAAAACAAAAAACAGTTATCAAACACGTGATTTTTGTTTTTAAAAAATAGAAAAACCAAAAACCAAAAACATAAATGGTTATCAAACTGACCTAGAGTTTCTTGTTTCTTGTTCATATTTTTTTTTCCCAAAACAATAAAACCATTAGGTTATCATCATTGACTAATAAAATGCATAATAAATATTTAAAAAAAATAAAATGTAAAAAATTTGAACATTTTATTTAAATAATTATTTTTATATAAAACTTTTATTTTTATTTTAAAATTGTGATGAACAAGAAACGAAAAATAATTATCAAAATATTTGTTTCTCAATAAAAAAAAGATATAACCAAAAAAAAAAACTACTAAATGTAGCTTTAGTTTTCTTTATTATAAAAGAAGAAAGAAACAACAAAATTATCAAACAAGCTATTAGCAAGATATAAATATGGTACTGGCTAGGGTGTTTATTGAGTTAGGCAGACATTAATTTTAGACCGAATGACTAATTTTACTATACAAAAGAGGGATTAAAGGAACGTTAAAAATAACGAGTATGAAACACGTGCGTTCATGTAAAATATCATAGTTTTATTTTAAAATATAAAAAAATAAAAGTTAATTAAATAGTTAAAATTTTTAATATAATTGGATTTTTTTATCTCTCAATATTTGCCTCACTAAGTTTTTTTTTTTTTTTTTGTATTTTCCATGTTTACCTCATAAAATTGACATCTTAATAATTCTCATCACTCATTGATTGGGTTGACGTGATTAAAAAAAACCTAAAAGTTAAACGTTAGATCAAACAATCTAACTAAAATATAAGAAAATGCAAAAACATACCAAATGATAAAAATGTAGTGAGAAAAATGTTGAGAGAAAGAGCAAGGAAAAACTCTCTATATATAGTTCGAGATGATAAAAGAGTTTTAAATTTTTTTTGAAAGGGTAAAGGAGGGAGAAAAAACTTCTCTAATGACAGCAGAAGAGGTCTGGTTAAGCTGAAAGATCCGTTTGAGCGTTTTTGGGCTCTAATACCATATTAATATTCATGGGGTTTCATCTAAAAACCAATTGGCAATGAGAGAAGTAGCTCATGTCTATTATAAACCTATGTAAGGTTTCTTCTTTTATCAATGTGGGATCCTTAACATTAAAAACGTTCACTTTTTTAATGAATGACAATAAAATTTAGAGAGAGAGAGCACACATATGTTGGGTTTGTAAGGTGAATGCAAACAAAGTTCCACATTAGCTAACGAAGGAGGTGATCATGGGTATATAAGAGAGGATAATTATCTTCATTGGTATGAAGTCATTTGGGTGAAACCAAAAGCAAAGTCGTGAAAGCTATGTCCAAAGCAGACAATACCATACAATTGTGGAGATACGTGGGGTACTCGGAGTACCGTTGTCTTTAACAAGTGGTATCAGAGCCATGGTCTAAAACATAGCTATGTCGATGAATCCTCGAGTGTCGAGCAAAGAAGTGGTGAGCCTCAGAGGTTTAGTCATGGTGTAAGTCGTAGGTGTGCTCTATCAAGGTATGACGGAAGCCTTAGATAAGAGCAAGCTCTCGTTCAGGTTTCGAGAGTAGACAGATGAGTGACTAGTTGAGGGGAGGCTCGATGGTACTTTGTTCGAGGGAATGATTGAGGTGATCGTGGGTATGAGGCCATTTGGGTGAAACCAAAGTAAATTAAAGTCGTGAAGACTATATCCAAAGTAGACAATATCATACTATTGTGGAGTACTCGGATTACCTTTGTCCATAATAATAGATTAGACCAATTATTTCTACTTTTATCGATAGTTGACAAGGTTTTGTAATTCGTACAATTTTTTATAAAATTAGTAACTCAATTTATTGAGAGAGAGAGCATTAAACGTGAAGATTAATAATGAAAAAGATGTAACCAGCTTACTCTTAACTGGCTTGAAACCCTCGTTGAAAATGAACCTGAGTTGGATTAATACGTGGTTTTATTTTCTAAAAAGAACAAGCATTTGTAATATTAATTTTTATTTTCGCAATTTTAATAATTAACTTATGGAAAGGGAGACATTGAAGGTTTTTTTTTGTTGTTTCTCGCAACATATGAGCGTGAGGAATTGAACTCACGATCTTTTAATCATAAATAAATGTCTTAACTAATTGAATTATGTTCATGTTGGCAAACTTAAACGAATTTACTGGAATCGGTTGATTCTTAAACATTATTAATTGTAGATGCAAAAAAATCTATTCATTGGAAAATATAAATAACAAAAGTTGATAGAAGATATGAAAGCTTTAAAGACTTTTCTTTTTCTCCTTTTTTTTTAATATCGTGAAAGCCTTAAAAGTTAAGTGGTCACAGATGAAATTATTGTATTTGTTAGTACCACAAGTCGGGTGGGAGATTCGAATTGAGATAGATGTCTTAACCACTTGAGCTATGCTCGGTTTGGCTTCTCTCTTTGTGCTACAATAACTCAACAAAATGTATGTGTGAGAACTGAAAGAGGATGCTTTTTTTTTATCATTTATTAGCTCAGCCGGGGATGTTCAATCATTTGATATACCATCTCAAAGGTCTCAAAGGTTTTAGGTTTAGAAAAGTGATGAAAGAACAAAAATATGTCTTTTCAAATTGGGTTATATTCAAGTTGGCGAGTTGAAAGAATACTATAGTATTAATATTATATTGTTTTTTGTTGTATTATGAGAATAATTCAAGTAGATAAGACATCTTAATCACCAATTTCGAAGGTTGATACTTCGATCTTCCACCCCACAATTATTAAACTAAAAAAATACAAAGTTTTTGTTTAATTTATCAATTCAAATTGTCTGTTATCATTCTAAATTATGTCGATGATTTGAACTTCTACCTACAATTTTTAAATTATATATTTGTTATACTTTTTCCAACTTCGCCCATCAAAACAATCTTTCTATTATATTTATCTACTCATATAATCTCTTTCTTCTTC